ATCCATGGGATGCAATGGGATCCATGGGATGGGATTTGAGGTCCCTTTCCACTCAAACCATTCCAGGATTCCATCATGGGTCACTCTCAAGGGCTGTGCTTTGATAACCAAGTTACCAATTCCTGTGGTGGATGGATTCAGGTGTTTTCCAGCATGGAAATTTAAAGGAATCTGACCATTTAGAGGAATCCCTTTTCTAGGATCTGTTATCCCAGGGAAACATCTGTCAGCTTTGGGATTGCTGTATTTCCCACCTCCAAGGCTGTTCAGTGAATTTGCAGTGCTGTAATTAAAATTTGGGTACAAGGAAAATCAGAGTTTTCCCTGCTGGAGCTGGGCTGGGAACAGCTGAGAGAAGCTGTGCAGTCATGGCAGTGTTGGAATTTGCTCCTTCTGCATGTGTTGCTTCATCTGGATGGGAAAATGGGATGGAAGTTTATCCTGTACCAGCTCCTGAGCAGGAAATTCCCCCTCTCCCAGCTGAAACCAGGCTGAGGTGGTTTGTACAAGGAATATTTCATTATGGGCTGAGGGATCTGTGGGTGGGATGGTGTTTGATGATTGCAGGAGTGGGAATGCCAAGGTCTCACATCTGTTATCCCACCTTGTTTTCCAATAACCTGGAATAAACCACTTCAGCATTTTCTTACTCTCCTTGTTCTCCTGTATCTCTCAGAAGGAAGAGCAGCCTGGGAATGACCTAAATCACTGATTTTATTAATTAAATCAGAAATTTATTTAAAGCATGACCTTTTTTTGTTAAATATTGGTATTATTGAGATTTTCCCCCTACCTGTAGCCCATTCTCAGTAACAGCTGCTGGTGTTGGCAGGCACAGTTTTAGACTGGAGTGTGTGTTTGGCAAGAATCTGGAGTGTGTAGGATGGGATCCATGTTCAATTCTGGGATTTTGGGGTTCTCTTATCTATTAAACACTTCCCCATCTAAAGCACAACATTCAAAAGGTCAATGTTTAATTTTTAAAATTTAATTTTTAAAATAGTTCAGTTCTTTGCCATTTATTTTGTTGGGTTTTTATTCCCCTTTCAGTGTGAGTAGTTTTAACCTGTATTTTAGTAAGACCTGCAAACCAGCTAAAACGCTTTCTAACGCTTCAAATATTCAGCTATTGGGTAGGTGGGAAAGTGCAGCTTGTGTGGGGATGTTTGTAGCTGTGCTGTTTGCCCGGAGCAGGGCTGGGCTTTCATTTCCCACACAGTTCCTCTGCTTTCCCTGCAGTTGGCTGCAGCCAGTGATCCCCTGCAGCCCCCGAAGGCCCAGCAGGGCAGTGCTGAGCTGCTCTTCAGCAGGAGCAGAACCTCCAGGAGTGCCCTCCAGCCCAGCGTGGAGCTGGGCCCTGAGCACCCTGCCCGTGCTGCTGGTGAGTGGGGACACAGGGATGGGGCTGCAGCTGCCAGGGCACGGCAGCTTTCATGTGGGAAATGAATTTGTAGAGAAAAAACCCATCACAGTATGGGGAGACGTGTGTTGTCCCAGTGGGGATGAAGGTAGAGGTGGGGTTTTGGTGGAAACTACAACTCCTGCCACTTTGAAGTTATCTTAGAAAACCCATTTGGGTAGATCAATGGCCTCTTCAACAGAAAAAATTGAATGCTCTCAAAAAATTAGTAAGTGAACAATTACAAAAACTAGAAAGTGAACAACTGCAAAAATTAGAAAGTGAACAATTACAAAAATTAGAAAGTGAACAACTACAAAAATTAGAAAGTGAACAACTACAAAAATTAGAAAGTGAACAACTACAAAAATTAGAAAGTGAACAATTACAAAAATTAGAAAGTGAACAATTACAAAAATTAGAAAGTGAACAACTACAAAAATTAGTAAGTGCACAACTACAAGAAGGCCACATTAAACCTACAAAGACTCCCTAGAATTGCCCAGTTTTTGTCATTCACAAGAAGACCTCTGATTCCTGGAGATTACTCCGTGACCTAGAGAGGATCACAGAGGACATGGGGCATTTGCAGCCAGGACTTGCTTCTCTCTGAGTGGTTCCAAGGGCCTGGCCTCTTGTTGCCTTGCACATTTCAGTGGCCAGAAGGATCTGGAAAGCCTGGGCAAGACCAGACCTGAGGGACTGTGTCCCCATGGCCCTGGGCCCTGTCCTTGTCCCCTCTGGGGAGTGCTGGCCTTGCCAAGTTTGCTGCCTTGGGTTTTGAGGTGTTTGCTGCCCTTCATTGTCACCCACTCAAAGAGGGGATTGTTCAGGGGTTCCTTTGCTCCCCTGCAGCTCCCAGCTGGAGCAGAGCCCTGGAAGAGCAGCCAGTCCTTTTCCCTTTTCCCTTTTCCCTCTGAGCTGCTTTTGGAGGTTGCTTAGAGACTCTGGAATGAATTCCTTGGAGTGTGGGTTTCCCACTCAGAGCTACACAGAGTCTGCATTCCCTGTGAAATATTATTGGATATTCTTGGAGTATTATTGGGTATTCTCTGTTGGACAGCATGTGTGAACACTGATTTGGTTTGTGTGTTCTCTCTTGGAAGGTGCTCTGGGCTCTCATCAGCCCCAGGTTTCAGGGAAGTGTGGGACGCTGGGATACTCCCGTGGGAGGAGTGGCAGTGTGGGCTCTGATTTGCAGTTTCTGGGACTCAGTAACTGTCAGCAGGACAAAGGTAGGTGCCTTCTGCCAGGCATGTCACTTTGGAGTTGTCCCTTTGTCCCTGTGCTTCCCCAAGAAATGGGAACTGTTCCTGGAAGGTTGTTCAGGCCCTGTCCTGGTGGCTCCTCCTTCCTGTGTGAGTTAATGAGTGGTTGTTAATTCACAGCCCCCCTTTGGTCTCTGACTGTGTAGGTGTGAGGGAAAAGGGAGGATCACAGCAGTGTTTGATCTGCTTGCATCACTGGTTTTTAAATACAGTTCTATAAAACTTGCCTGAGAAATCATTTTAAGGTTTAAACTCACATTTGGGGGGGAATGTAATTTGCAGAATGAAGTTGGTTGGTTTGTCTGCTTGGCCAAACCTTCATGCTCTGGCTGCCTAGTGGTGCATTATTTAATTGGAAATTGTTCTTTTGATAGATGATTTCATTGGTAATCATTTTTATGGTGCTTTATTGCACTGGAAATCATTCTTATGGTGTATTTTTTAATAATAAATTCTTACTACAAGACCCAGTTACCACAAGCACTGTTCTCTTTTCTTTTGCTCAGTTTGTTCCAGCCTCAGTTTTTCCAGCAAGACCCAGAGAAGTTTTTGCACTCAGGCAGAGCCCACCATGTCCTTCCAGGGTCCCAGTGCCAGCCAGGGCACCTTCATCCTGCCCTCCTTCCCCCTGGCATCGCCCAGGACCAGCCCCAAGCACCTCTCTGCCCCTGCTGCCCTGGCAGGGAGGTGCCAGGCGGACCCCAGGAGCCTCTCCAGCTCCTGGCCTCTCAAAAGCTTCCAGGGGCTGCCCAAGCCTGGTGGCCAGAAGCAGCTGCTCAGCCAAAAGCCAGGAGACAGCACAGGTGGGAGTGGTCTCAATGTGATAAAAAGGGGTTTGTGGGTTTATTTTGAGGGATTTTCAGTGGTCAGGAAATCCACAGTGGCAGTGAGAGGGAATTGGGCAGCGCCTCAGGGGCAGTTAGGAATGGGAGGGATTTATTGATTTATTTACTTATTTACTGATGGCTTCACTGCTCACGTCCCTGCAGGCTTCTCTTCAAAAGTGGAGCCTTTGGATTTGTCATAAAGCCAAATATCTACAGCTCTGCTTTTTGTAATGTCTCAGGGCAGGGTCTGTCTTCAACTCAAATAAACCCAAAATAGGGCACTTTAGGGAAAGTCAGTACAGAAATACCTGGGACTGTTCAAACCCTGATTCATCCATGTGCAACAAAAGGGTTACTCAGTGCATTTTGCCTTTTTGCCTCTTCATTTCACTCATGGAATCCCAGAATGGTTTGGGTTGGAAGAGACTTTAAAACTCATCCAGTTCCAATCCCCTGGGTAAAAATGCCTTTATTCTCTGTTTAGCTTAAACTGCTTCCTAATCACTCTGGAGGTTTCTGAAACAATTCCCACACAAAATTTTGCACTGATTAAAGAAATCTGTTTGAAATTTCATCTTCACTGAGACCCATATTTCTGTGCACATATAGAAAATTTCCAACTGAATGCTTTGGGGATTTCCTGCCCCTGGAATGGGACTCTGCCTTGTAGATGTATTTATCACTTGCTTTATTATTGTATTTATTATTTGTTATTGTATTTATCACTTACCATATGCATTTTTTCACTTACTATATGCAGTTTTACATATGCATTTTGATTTTTTTTCTGGTTCTTTGGAAAAAGAACCTTTTGTTGTTACAGCACCTTCCATGGAAGTTTAGGGATGAGTGTTTTTCTCTTAATGAAGAAAGTTAATGACTTTTTAAAGGGAAACACTGCTGCATGTTTTATATAGGATTGCCTTGCTTAATAGGCTGATTGTTCTGTGTGAATTATGTTAAAGGGACTAAGGGCACGTGCATGGACTTTGGTGATCCTCGTGTGTCCCTTGGTGTGCACATGCATGAAACACTCATTTCTATTTTCCTAAAGGAAAGAGACACTAACAGTGGAATAAAGTGATACCTGAGCCTGCACAAATGTGTTTTTAACACTTGGTCCATGGCAGGAGGAGTTTTATAGACACAGCAGTGAGAGGTGAGGTTTGTCCTGGTGCCATCCCTGACAGTTCCTGTGTGTTCCAGGGGACAGCCTGCAGCTGGAGAAGCATTCCCTGCAGCTGGAGAAGCATTCCCTGCAGGTGGAGAAGCATTCCCTGCAGCTGGAGAAGCATTCCCTGC